CCCCTTACCATAATCACGAGCTTCATCTTTCTAAATAAATGTAAAGACAGAGCCCGAAAGGGGAACCGAGTCGCGTGACAGACACAGTGATGAAGCTGGTATGTGTTGGCATTACACAAGCCACGGTTAAGACAGCTGACTCCACTGTGATCTGACCCCCCAACCCCCCTTCTCTCTCTCTCACTCTCTCGCTCGCGCACACACACACGATGTGCAAAACTCCGCATTTGAACAGTAAATAGCAGTGTTATTAAACTAATAACAAAACAGTAGCCGATTCAGAAGCGCCAGATTGTCATAGCAAAGTCAGAATTTTATTAAACTAATAACAAAACAGTAGCCGATTCAGAAGCGCCAAATAAATTCCTAAATGCATCTACTTTCAGAAGGCCAAATAAAGTGCTTTTGCTTTTGCACTGAAACACACAGCGTCTCCCGGACATGCTGCTTCAACACTAACTCCGGTTACTGAAACCACGCCTTCTTTGTTTGCATGCACATTTGGGCGCATTATGCAAATATTTCCACATAGTGAGGTAGATATGTGGGGGCGTGTTAGAACGAGTCGTTTTAGGGGGGCGTGGCAGAGTCTTAACTTTTATAAAGAATATCTCTTTGGTTTTGAGACTTTAGTCTTTGCAACTTCAGGGATCTTATCTATGCACAATCAGCTTGTAACACTCCAAAGAGAAAGGAAAACTTGAAATCGCATCAATTACCCCTTTAATGCCTTTCCTTATGGGATGATATTAGACTCTAAATTATTAATAGACGCACGCACAATTATCCATGTACTGCATACATTAAAAGACATTTAAACTGCAAATAAGGCACTTTTTATGTCAACTTTATACGGTCCACTTTGTTGTTGAAATACATTTGAAAGGTGGCTGAAATAAAAACTTGTTTTTAATGACAGATTTATTCAAACATACATTTTAAGGAAAAAAAAGTTATAGTTCAGATATTTAGCAAAATGCTCCTCTCTAGAGTGATTATTTTCAAGTTGACTACTGAGTTTATGGTCACCGAATGGCTTTTCTGAGGTAAATGTAACATTATATGACATTTTTTACACAAGCCGTTTTAGTGATGTTTTTGTCTTTGTTTCTCATTACATGAGATATGATACATTTCAGTAAGTTGTACAGTTTATTTTAACATCTGATGTTCTGTTCATTCATGATTATTTTGTGCTGTAACTAGTAGTAAAGATGAAGAGATGACCAGTTCATGTGCTGCATGAACTGAGGAGTTCATGTTTTATTGAGGTGCAGAAGTTTATCAAGCCACATTAAGGAGTATCAAAACCACCAGAAATTTGTATTTCATGACAAAAAACTAACAGAATTTTGTCAGCACCGATAGCCTCATTGGTAGCGTGAGATGTTGCGCCTCGAGCGTCCTGATTCCATCCCCCCCCCTCCCCTCTCTCCAACTTTACTTCCCGTCTAACTACTGTCCTATGAAATAAAGGCAAAACGCCAAAAAATAAATCTTAAAAAACAGCAACAAAAATCAACAGAAGACACTGCCGAGACATTGTTGGAACCTGAGCACAAAGCTTACTGCGATTATTGGATGCAGTTGTGCTACCAGTAATATTTAGTGAAGTTATGCATCAACAGAAAACAGTATAGACTTAAAAGATTGATCTTACGGTTTAAATCGATATTGTTAACCCAGCACTAGCCTCCACACAGCTGAAATGTTTACCTGTTGTTTTATCCACAAAGTGTTAACCAAATATAGACAGACTGAGGCAAAACACTAATTATCTCACCGTTTCAGTCAATGAAAAACTATTTTAGCTAAAAATAATTAGGTGCCTACATTGCAGTACATCACTATATTCTATCTTTATATCTATACCCCCCCCCCCCGGCTCCCCTTAAACAGCTCGAC